CTCTCTCTCTCTCCCTCGCAGATATCTCCAGGAGCCCCAGAACTACGACGCGAAATTCGTGTTCTCGTACCGGGGCCCCGTGCCGATGAAGGGGCGAAAGGAACCGATGCAAGTGTGGTTCCTCAACAGGAGAAAACCCGGTGCCGACGCAGGGGCCCAGCAATAGAGATTTAGTTTTAGATGTAGAGCTTAATTGAGATTGAGCTTAGGAAACATTAGGTAGTCTCCCGAGAAAGAGAGAGAGAGAGAGAGAGAGAGAGAGAGAGAGAGAGAGTGAGAGTGAGATTGAGAGTGGGAGTTCGGGGGAGAATGTATATAATTAATGTCGAAAAACATTTGACGTACTGTATGTGATAATGATAAAAATATATATATAATAGTGAGAGTTTGAATGGTTACGAGAAGTGTGTCAAATAGCTGGTGATATATAGGAAAAAGTAATTTAACAAAATAAAAAACATGTAGCAGTATATCCTACACACACGCACGCTGAGAGAGAGAGAGAGAGAGAGAGAGAGAGAGAGAGAGAGAGAGAGAGAGAGAGAGAGAGACAGAGAGAGAGAGAGACTAATAGGAGCACGGGACAATGCGTCTGGGATGCGCAGATCTTTTTCATAATTCATAATGTTGTCGGAAGATATGCCAAGACCTTTTTTTTTCAACAGCATCCAGATTGTGAGAATGTAGAACAGTAATATGGGTAGTAACATGGGCAAAATCTGGGAGACCTAACAACTAATGCCTACACTCAAAACAGCTAACATCTCCAGTTCGATTACACTGTACCAGGATTCCAAGCCCAGGAGATAATATGATCCACACCGAACGAGTAACCACACACCACCCCTGTGTTCTTGCAGTAACCTACGCCTGTTTGCAAGACAGTCTTGAATGCAGGATCGAAGTTTGCAAATACAGGAGGCTGAACAATTATCACATTTCCAAATGAATGATCTTCTCGGTGACGCGGGAGGTCGATGGACATCTGCAGTTGACTCTGTAACTGGCGTAATGTGAGTGAGTTTGAGCTAGAGCTACGGTGATTACACATGAGCATACGTTTATATTGCGGGTATTCATGGAAATGACTCGGAATGCATATTTGCATAAATAGACGTTATTAGCAGAACTCATTTAAAATCCCGTCATTTATGGTAATTATAACTCGTCGTTTGGACCATCACTGTTGGATTTTCTTTTCAGTATTTATAATTCCACATGATGTCTGTTACAGCACTTCCATTTCTTGAAAATGAAATTAAAGGGGTAATAAAGTAAAAATCGGAAACCTAAATAAAACAGCTAGTTCTGGTATTCTACCAAGAGAGTGGCAGCGTACATCTAAGCGAACCATCATAACTCGCTTTACCTCTCAATAATCAGCTAACAGACAACCGATGGTATCCGCCGACGCGAATAAGCAATTACAAAAGTAAGGTAAAGAAATAATGAAGTCTCAAAAAATTAAAATCCAAATATAAAATACGCCAGCGTGTTGTTTCGGCGAGACTCAGCTTGGCCTCTCTGTCTTAGGACTGTCAGGATTCCAAGTCGTTAATTACCGCCATTTTCTTTAGAGTAACAGTAAATACAAATGTTGGTATTTAGAGAATGCCTTTCTAGGCCAATGAATCTTTCCCATTTTCGTATTTCCATATATATATAAAATTTATAAATACGAAACACTGGACCAACTCCTAAATCTTAAAATATAAACAAGGTACAGAAGAGATGGGTCAATTCCTTTAGTTTCATAAATATAGTTAAAAATACGGCGGGCCAAGATTTCTCACTAAGGATTCGAACAAGTGTCGTGAGGAGGCTTCAAAGCGGCCTATTCGCACAGGATCCTAGTGAACATTTCTTACGTGCGCTCTGTTTCCGGGTTATTTTATGTAAGTTAGCAATTCGTAACCGAAAACGGAATACCTTCACATTTTCCCCCGCAGTCCAAATAAAAATTTCTGTAAATTACCGCAGCTACGAAAACGTGACGTCACTGTTTACCGCCGTCACAAAGCTGGCCTTGCATGGCTGGCGGGCTCCCTCAGGTGCGCATTTTAGGAGAACCGTTAGCGGGAAATCTGCGCAGATGGATGTATCCTCTTTCTCGATGTTAAAATGGTACATAACTGAATTTTCAAACGATTTTGTAACGCGACAGCCAAATTACGATGTTACGTTATGCGCAGATGTTCGATGGGAGGGTTCACCTGCCTTATGCCGCCCTGTTGCCTTCCGCTCGTGCAGGTTCATTTACAGCTGCTGGCGGCAATGGGGGGCGGACTGCATGCAGATTTTGATCACAACACCATGGTGGTGAAGAGTGACAAGGCGTCTCAACTCAATGCTTGTATCCTGGATAACTGATATTATTATATGATTATCCTTCCTCAGCTCAATGACAATATATCATAGCATAACGAAACTAAATTTTGATACTTACATTCATACATAAGATATCACTTATCAGTCTCACAATATATATATATATATTGTGTGTGTGTGTGTGTGTGTGTGTGTGTGTGTGTGTGTGTGTGTGTGTGTGTGTGAGAGAGAGAGAGAGAAAGAGAGAGAGAGAGAGAGAGAGAGAGAGAGAATAAACAACAAAATAAAGAGAATGAACATTATTATAATTTGTTATAGTAATGAACAATAATGCATTTGCCTACATCGTACATCTGGAGAACCACACCAGACTGACACTGTAAAGATTCCATAAGATTATTGATAAAGTTTCCACGATGCCAAAGAATATTTTGAACTTAAATGTACTTAGCAGAGCATGGATGATGGTTTAGTATAGGTGCTCTGAATATATTTTTGTGTGACGATGTATAGCTGTTTTTTTGTTTGTTTTTTTTTCTCATGAACAAAGAATCTATGATGCTGAAAATTATATTTAGAGTAATGTAGTATATGTGTTATTAAAGCAAATAAACTGACATTTGTTTGCTAGCCAAAGAAATGCTACATAACACGATGCTTTTTATTACCTCTGTGTGTGTCATGTTGTTTTTTTGTTGTTGTTTTATAGTTTTTGTGATTCAATATTTTGTTTGAAATTGGAATTATTTCATTTATTTTTCAAGGCTTAATTATCGTTATCAAATATGATACAGTTCAGATATTTTCTCAGTATATTAATAATAACAGACCGTAAATTATAAGATATTTTAAGTCATAAATTTGTAGGAATTATAACAAGGTAAACAAAGTCCATGATTTCTTCAATAAAAAAAATACTCCTGTAAGTAGTTGGATTTCTGTAAAAAAAAAATAATAATAATAATAATAATAATAATAATAATAATATAAAAAAAATAATAAAAAAAAAATAAAAAAAAGACTAAAGGGGGGAAAATCATAACTGAAATGCACCAAAGAAGTTCACTGGAAAAGTTTTCCAGACCATTCATATCTAAAGTAAACGGAGGAGGAGGAAAATTTCCCCTTTAACATCCAGAAACGAGCAGATTCTTGCTATTTAAACAGCATCTTGTGATATAGAGGCAGCAAAGCAAAGTGTGAATAATGAGATCCTAACATTAGTTTAAGGTGCCATTTGGAGTGATGGAAAATAAATCAGATAATTGAATGCAAAGGAAGATGTCGAAAAAAAAGTGACGGGGGCAAGAGGGAAGATTGGGGTGAAGACAGACATACAGACAGACAGAAACAAAGAGAGGAGTGAAGGAAATAAGTGAATTAAACTTTGAATTGACGATAATGGAAAAAACTGAGTACCTTGAAGATAAAATTAACGTATTGAATATATTTTTTCTCCCTATTTCCCGCTCGGTCGCTCTGCTTCTCTGACATTTTATCAGTCTGTCTGTTTATCTATATGTCTGTGTCTACCTGTCTGTCTGCTCTCTCTCTCTCTCTCTCTCTCTCTCTCTCTCTCTCTCTCTCTCTCTCTCTCTCTCTCTCTCTCTCTCTCTCTCACACACACACACACACACACACACACACACACACACACACACACACACACACACACACACACACACACACACACACACACACACCCTGCGTTCAAATCCCTCGCCGCCAGTGGATGGAAACCCCAGCCACAGGGGTCATTTAGAAGCAAAATCAAACAGACAACATGTCACACCAGACAGAGAGACAGACAGACAGACAGGCAGGCAGACAGACAGACAGACACAAAGACTCTTCACCTATGGTTCGCCTCTGTGTTATTGTTATGCCTTGCGTTCCAACAGAATATCATATTTTCAGCAATATAACACCATAAATGAAGTCACCGCTTTATTCAGTATTATATTTATATATTGTCTTTAGGTTTGCGATAATCCTTCATTATCCGTTTACTTCCTTTTTTGTCATCATTTACTACTCGTTCGTTTTGTTGCTGTTGCTGTCGTCTTTGTCATTGTTGTTGTTGGTGGTGGTGGTAGTGTTGTCGTGGCCGTGGTCGTCGTTGTTGTTGTTGTTATTGCTGCAAACACATCAAGTCCTCGAAGAAAAAGTTCTAATAATTCCTGGAACTCTGTCAAGGGAACGCAGCAAGGGGAAGGTAGACGGGGGAAGTCAGCCGTATGGCAAGTCTACGATATGGTAAGCTCGATAATATGGTAGCTCTACAATAGGGCAGAGCTATGACTTTGTAGCCTAATGATATGGTAGTTCTTTAATATGGCAGACTTTGCCTTGGTAGTAACACACACATACACAACAACAACAACAACGGGCATGGTGTGTGTGCAGCGAGAAGGATTTCCGAGTTCAGAATAGTGATCGTTGGTGGGAGGCGAGACAGAAATATCGAGCACTTTCGTCTTGTGTCTTTACCGAAAGTCGGGTATCCACGTCATGTCCGCAATACTAACTAGGAGACTCGGCAACCCACAACGCGATAGAAAATAACGGTGTACAGGATATTAATTGCTCGACCACACTACCGGACGGTCAAATACGAGCACAACCAAGCTGCTGGCTCCAATTTATTTCCATTTTGTTACTCTTACTCTTGCAACCTCCTCCTTTTCCTTTCTAAAATCTTTGAAACTGAATTGGAATATATAATAAAGAAGCTAAGCGGAAAGGCAAGAGAGCAAACTCATTTCTCTTTAAAAGTTTACACAAATTACATTTAATTTATAAACGATAAACACACATTGCATTTAATCAACAGTAGGAGTCACATAGTATAATGGCATTAACTTCACTTATTTGACGTTTTTGGTTTCTACTATCAACCCTTATAGATTATCCCTATAAAAGCAATCTGGCTAAAGAATATAATATTTTTGAATGATAAGCCATGAGACAGAATCAGAAACATGGCTATGATTTTAGGTAGTGGGGGGCAGACATGTGCTGATAATGGGCTAGGTTCTCAGAACTCTGAGAAAAGTATCAGAAACTTTGCACTTATACCTTGCAGGGCAGTATTGGTTACTGCTGTGCTTTACCCCAGAATTTTGCGAGTCATTGTTACATATTTCAAATATTAGGTTAACAATCCATAAATCACCAGAGTGAACATTTGATACATTTCAGACCTGTTTGCTATAGCTTATGCATTACTAGGCAGGAACTTTGTGCTCCTTTATTTGAATAAATCTCCAGCCATGACCAGCAGGCAATATTGTTGATTTAAGTAAGTTTATCTACATAACTTCATTTAAAAGTAACAGTAAGTGAGGTCTGTACACTACCTCAACATGTTATTGAAAATAGGAAATCAGCAATTTGTCTAATATATTTCTTCACCTTTTTTCATGAATTTGCTTGATAAATTCACAGCATTTCTCAGTTATATTAAATTTGATCTTAGGGTCCTGTCGAATAATTTTTTTGGATGACTTTAGTCTAGTTAAATAGTTTTATGTACTTGTTGATCATATGTTAATGATTTTTATCATTGGACATTGTATTCTAATGCATTGCATGAGAACAAACTCAAAGTTGTAAAATATATTTTGCTTAACAAATAAGCTAATACATATTTTTGCATACATTTTTGTTGCATGATCAGTTCTATGAATTCTAATATAGTCTTCAAGAATAATTTCCCTTTAAACTCTACACTAAAAAGAGTTTTTGGTTAGTAAAAGATGCACTGAAGTAATGTTTTATTCCACGTAAAAGACTAAAAGAGATTTTTTTTTCATTTTTTCATTCCACATAAAAGACTAAAAAGGGATGATTTTATTCTTTATTTTAATGGGTATGAGTCAGTAAGACGTGTATTACATAATGACAATGTTACAAAATCTCATTAATGTTATAATACCTTGACACGTGAGATTCATTACAAAACTGATTGTGACTTCTCGATGGACTAGCATAGTATGGATGTGTTCACACTCGTATGCTATTGCAAACTCACCTACAAAGATACGCATACACTCTAATTTGATATGAGCACATTTGCAAGTGTGTCTGCATGAGCACAAGTATATGTACATGTATGTGTGTGGATGTATGTATAGGCATGGACATTTATACTCACAAATGAATGTGTGTGTATATATACACATGCACACCCACACAAACACACAAATTCTGACTGGCAGTTAGGTTTGTCACAGCACATGCTGATTGTTCAAGCATGCCAACTAATGAACTCAAAACTCAAAGTGAGAATGAAACCTTCTGAAAAAAAATTAATCCAGAACACATCCTTTCACTACAAACTGAATTTCCCCAAAATACAATATCACAACAAGCATACAATACTCTTCATAGATACATATATCTTTATTCAGTCATTCAAAGTATCTTTTTATGCATCTATATCAATTATATAATTTGGCTAACTAGCTATGGACAAATTACCTACCATGTACACAATCTAACGAGAAATGAATTTGTTCCGGGTATGACATTCATTTACCATGTCACTTGATTTCCGAGATGAGTATGTAGTATTCCAGCTAACTTAATAAAAAATCATAAACAGTGTTCCTAATGGCATCTGCCTTTTTTCCTCATTTTTGTTGTCGTTTTTTTGCAATATCCCTCACACTAAGTAATTTGGTACAATAAAGCAAAAGATAATGAGAATATGAGTTCCTTCTGCTTCCATGTCTTACCTATACCAAGATGTTACATCAATTGTATTGGAAACACTAAATACTTTTTTTTTTCACTTCATTTCAATAACTTTGTCAATCACAAGGTTAACATCAGCGCTTGAATAATATCAGGAGGCAATGTACATAAATACATTTCATTTGATCTGATGACATTCCACAAAATCAAAATATATATGATATAAAAATATCATGCTGCCATTCTACTTTCAAATGTGTGTTAATAATCAGTCTCTCTCTCATCAAAGTCAACAGATTATCTATCTCATAGCTTCTTTAGTCTCTGTATTCGGAGTGGTGAGAGTTTTTTTCACTTACATATTAAGTTTCCAAAACAAGCGTTATGTACCAACACAATGGCACAACCATAATAATCTCACATACCAATACTTTGCCTGAGTATCTGTGGAAAACAATAAAACTCTCAGCTGCCCGACTGCAGACAATCTATTATACATTGAATAATCTCTGTTATTGTATTTTTTTTGCTTTTCTGTACAGCTGTGTATTTACAGTACCCTGGACACCTACACACTACAAAGGAAGGGGGGGGAGGAGATGTGGGGACTGAGGGGTTGAAGGTATATGGGGGGGGTGGGTAAAGGGTAGGGTGGTTACGAGATTTCGCAGACACTCACAAATGAATGTGTTCGCGAAACCAACTGACGCACCGCAGAACCGTAGGACCGTGTGATTGTGCGTTTCCACAGGATGCAAGCAACTATGACCTACAAGAAGCAGAAGGAAGTGCCTGCTTGGTAAAGGTATCCTAACTGCACCTGACCTGTCGAGCCACAGTGTCTCTATCACAATTGTCTCTGAAAGAAGAATTTCTAATTTACAAAATATTCTTCTTTCTCATCATCAAAATGGTGGGCTTCGTTCTATTCAGCTCAACAGTACCATTAAGAAAACATTACTAAATATTGTACATACAGAAACACAATCCTACTGTGTTTAAAGGCATGGAAGTTTAAATTTATTTTCCTTCTTTTTAATATTTTTTTAGTTCACTTTTTTCCACTTCCTTTTGAATCAACACTATTCTACAATCTTTTTTTTTTATCATTATTATACTATTTTATGACATCTATTATACTGGAAAGACAATCACTGTTTTTTTGTTTTATATCTTTATCTTCATTAGAAGTTCAGTATTATTGTCTAGTGCAACATGAGCACTCTGACTTTCCACAATACACTAAACTACAACTTCTTTCTCTTCTTTTTTTCCTTTTTTTCAGTTTTCACGGAAAAATACGATTGCACAGCCCAGAATCTCTCAGAAGCTTGGATCAAATAGCTATGACACTCTGCTGTCACTTCTGCATTGTGAGTGCATGAAAACCGATTGACCAACCAAAATAACGCACACTTATGACTACACACTAAGCTTCATCCTGAGTCACACGTCCATGTTCTTGCTCTGTGTCTGGATGATGAACGGCTCGCTCCACATTCTCCGCAAGTCACCCTGGGAAAATAAGAATTGTAAATATCAAACATGTAAGTTGCTCACCAGATTTGGAGTAATGCCTTTTCTTCCTTAAGGTCAAAATATCCATATTAGAAATGTTCAAATTAGAACAATTAGATACTAAGATAATTGAATATTAAAGTTAATGAAATAAATACATTTTTTCTGTGTTATATGCAGTTAAGGATCTAAACTTTGTCAAGAGTTAGGGATTACATATAGCACAATAAACACACCAATAAACAAAGAAAGACCTGTAATGGTTTAAAACTGGAAACAAAAAATAAATAAGTAAATAAATATATAAATAATAATAATAATAATAAAATAAGACCCAAAAATGAGACAGAAGTGACAAGCGAGCACACCTTGAGGTAAGCCATGGTGAGCAGGGGCAGCAGCGTGAAGGGCACGAGGTAGAGCAGGGCCGGTTGCGCAGCCTTGAAAACTTCAGACGACACTGTTGCCGTCAGCAGGCCCAGGAAGTAGCCAATGAGGGAGCAGTGGAAGTAGCTGTATAGAAACAGGAGCAAATATGAAAAAGGGGGGAGGGGGGATTGGTAAAAATTATCGTGACTATAACAATAACAATAATAACAAAAATCATCAATGCCATACTTCAATTGCTCTGCTAGTCTTTTTTTTTATCATTATTCTTTTTCATTATATTATGTCTTCAATCTTTTTTTCTTAATTTATACAAAATATAAATTCTCTATACTGTTTTATTTATTATAAGGAAAAAAATATACCTTTCCGGGAATCAGAATCTAACACTAACATTTTACCCAAGTCTGATTCTTTCCACTGAATCACTTCGATTTTCCTGCTTAGAATTCAATCTCTGATGCTATATTTTTACGGTCTTCTATACATACCTTATTTTATTCAAATTAGAAGGTGGCGGTACACCTGCTTCTGCCGATAAGAGCTGAGCCTTCTTGTAGGCATCATATCGGAGCACAAAACACAACAGGAGGCCTGGCATTACCTGCAAAGATTACACATCAGCATCAGCATAAGGATATAATTCTGCATCAAATTGGATTTTAACTATCCCGTCTATCTACTGAGTTAATCCAACATGATGGTAGCAATACGAGAAAAAAAAAAAAATTGGGGATCAACATTGCTGGCCCTGGTATTCCTAAGAAAACATTGAAAAAGCCCCGGCCCAATCAGAGAGGCCTGGCAGAGCACTCACAATGTCCCCAAGGCCCAGCATTGAGAAGTGGCCGGTGTTGTGCATTGACGGGAAGACCAGTTTGCCAGGCAGGGAGAGCTTGGGGGCCTCTCGTCCCACGCTGCCCAGGTGGAGCTTGCGGGCCATCACTCCCACTGGGTTTTCCGCTGGGCGAGTTGCAACCTGTGGGAAAGGAGAGGCATAGGAAATGTTGCTACTGTCAGCTTATCTGCTGCTGGGATTTTTTTCCTAAATGCAAAAATTAGTCATTTT